AAAATAGGTGAAGAAGGAGTCTTACCAAATTCTTTTTATGATACAAATATGGTGCTGATACGTAAACCAGGAAGAGTCAAAACAGAGAAAGAAAATTACAGACCAATTTCTCTAATGAATATAGATGCAAAAAGTTTAAACAAAATATTAGCAAATAGATTACAACTTATCACAAGAATAATACACAATGACCAGGTAGGATTTATACCAGGAATACAGGGCTGGTTCAGTATTAGGAAAACTATCAGCCTAATTGATCATATCAACACCAAGAAGTCTTGAGAAGAATCTGGTCCCCAACTCAAAGTAAGCACCCTCTGTCATTCTTTTGCTTCTCCCATTCTCAACTCAACTTTGAGAGTGAGAGAGAGAGAGAGTAGTCTCCAAGCCCCACTTGAGCCAAACACATCATCTTCTGCACTTCTGTTTTATATTCTCCTTATTGCAATATGTATAAGTATTGGCACCCTTTCTTTCCCATGAGAGCAATGGGTAAATTGTTCATTTTCACATCCATTTGTTCCTATCTAGCTATTTGGCCTTGGAAACATTTCCATATCTCTGTTAGTTTTAAAGTCGGTTTATTCACAGTTCTCTTGCAGCTGGTTGCTTCATAAATTGCAAGCTTCCCTCCTTCATTTATTTTCTACATTTACAGTAGCAAGTTATCAATCATTCAAGTTCTCATAACATGAAGTAGGGAGAAGGATATCTGTGGTGGGTGCCAGGACATTGCGTAATTTTTTCATCCTGCGTAAAGAATGTGCATATACAGTCTTTAGCATTTTGGTTTTCTTCTCTGTAAAATGAGACGGTTTGATTTTTAACCTCACTCCCCATTTAAAGTTCTAGGATTCTGCAAAAGTTTAGCCTAAATATCTTTTGCCCAAAGATGTGGTCATCCAGGGAGAAGTTTCTTCTTAAAGGTGAAAAACAATAGGCTCTTTAGAAAAGTCCTATTACCTTTATGATGTCACTTTTCTAGTCCTTCCTAATGCTCCTAGATAGAACCTTTTTTTTTTTTTAAGTGAGGCAATTGGGGTTAAGTGACTTGCCCAAGGTCACACAGCTAGTACATGTCAAATGTTTGGTCTGAGGCCGGATTTGAACTCAGGTCCTCCTGACTTCAGGGCCGGTGCTCTATCCACTGTGCCGTCTAACTGCCCCATGGAACCCATTTAGTAGTCAGCACCTTGGGTCAGGATTCTGACTTGAGTATGTCCTCTCTGATCACTTCCTTACACAGCATGCAGTTGCCTCATTTTGCAACCATCAATGTGTTTTGTTACCACATGGTCACATTTTTAAAACTACAGTTCTTTACATTTTCAGACAATTAGAAATGTTTACCCTGCTAGTGTTTTTACATTTGCTAAGTTCCTTTGGGGGATCATTCTATCATGTCGTTTCTTATCACCTCTCTTTTGGTTATATATGTAACCCTTAAATACAAAGACCTGTTAAAGCTGCTGGGGAGATCATTCCCGGTCACTCCCAGAGACATCCTGGAAGGGAAAATTGGTTCTAAATTTCCTGATTTGCGAGTAGCATCACAAATAAATGATTGTTAGGTCATAGCACTATTTGTGCTAGGTAGTTGAGCCTACTTTTTAAGGCTTTTTTACATTGTTCCTGTTGGAAAATGAGTTCTGCATTCGTAATAACCAGTTTACAGATGAACTTTTGGAGCATAATTTGTAAGTTTAGGGCTACTGCTATTGGGAATTGGTTTTGATCTTGACAAATATCTACACACACCTGAGAGAAAGCTTATTCGTTAGGTGAGTGAATCAGGATTAGAAATCAGTTTGGAATATGTTGTGCAGCTGTACCTCACTTAAATCTAATTCATGCGCAAGTTAAAACATGACCCTTGTGATGTCATTGTTTTCGAAAACGAAAGACCAACAACAACAGCATTGAATCTCCTAAGATGAAATGTAATAGGATTACATGTAAAGCCTTGCATTTATGTTTAAAAAAAAAAAATTCAGGGGCAGCTAGGTGGCACAGTGGATAGAGCACTGACCCTGGAGTCAGGAGCGCCTGAGTTCAAATCTGGTCTCAGACACTTGATGCTCACTAGCTGTGTGACTCTGGGCAAATCACTTAACCTCAATTGCCTCACCGGAAAAAAAAACCCAACTGCGCAAGTATACAGATTGGAGGTGATGTGAATAGTAATTGTTGTTCAGTCGTGTGTGACTCTTTGTGACCCCATTTTCTTGGCAAGGATACTACACTGGTTCGCCATTTCCTTCTCCAGCTCATTTTATAGTTGAGTAAACTGAGACAAACAGGTTGCCCAGGGTCACACAGCTAGTAAGTGTCTAAGGTCAGATTTGAACTCAGGTCTTCCTGACTCCGGCCCCACCACCATCTAGCTGCCCTTAGAGAGCAAGTCTTTTGAGAGATCTGTGCATTCCACTCAACTGCAAAGCAGTCTGAGTCAGTGATATGTTGTGGCAGCCAAGAAAGACAGTGTAATATTAGACTATTAACAGAAGTCTGGTGCTGTGAGGTAATAATGACCCATATGCCTCCTTTTTCATATCTATACGTATTTGATAATGGTCTGTGCAGGAAGCAAGGGCATCCTCAGTGAAGATGTGAGAAGATAATAGGTGGTCTTTCCTAGAAGATTTTCTTCAGCAGACCACATTTTCCTAGTCATACAGTGTGACTAAAAGACAAAGAGAATATGCAATTCCTCCAAAGAGCTTTTGATTTGGTGTATGCTTTTAGAGTAAAATACATGTGAAAAGGAACGTGCAGTGGTGGTCTAAGCACTGACATTAGAGACAAGAACACTTGGATCTAGCACTTAGAAAGTGCTCCCAGACAACTCTTTGGAGATTCTTAAGTTCCAGTGTAGGTGCTGGTCTATGCTTCTCAATTTGCACCCCAGCCCTACTCCTTAGAATTCCAAAAAAAAGCACAGTATTAAAGGTGCTTCTCTAATAAGAGTTTTTTTCAAGCATCTTTTAAGCCCAGCTCTTTGATAGTTATGACTAAAATGTTAACTGTAGTTGGTGGACCTCTAAATACTAATATAAAGTGATGCCTATATGTGTTTGCCAAAGCTTTTTGCTAGTTTTAATGATATCCTTGTGTCACAATTAAAATCTGTGATAAAGAGAAACTGAGGCAACAAAGTTCCAAGCACATTCCATTTGTTAGCAAGGCTAGCAATTACCAGTAAGTGGAATCCAAGGCTCCTTAGTAAAACCAAGGGCCCTATGGAGAGTTTGCAGAACTTTGTTTTAGTCAAAATTACAAATTCCTGAGTAACATGGGTGTTCATCACAGAGAGTTCTAACCATAAGTTGTATCAGTTTGGCACAAGGTAGACTAACAAAACATCCTGGGGCATCTTGAACAAGGACAGGAATAGGGAAATCATGGTTGGAAATGGGTTAGAAACAGGGAACCTATTCTTAGAATGGGGAACTGGAAAATTGTATAATCTCTCAGTAGTAAATACTCTTTTTTTCTTTTTTTTTTTTAATTTAGTATTTTATTTTTCCCCAGTTACATGTAAAAACAATTTTTAACATGTTTTTAAAATTTGAGTTCCAAATTCTCTCCCTTCCTCCCTCCCCACCCTACCTCCATTGAGAAGGCAAACAATTTGATATAGGTTACACCTGTGTAGTCATGTAAAACATATCCATAATAATCATGTTGGTAAACACTCTTTTTCTCTGATTAACTAGGCATTACAGAAGCTTATTGATAAATGGGCTATTAACAACATCAATATCTGAATTTACATGTGGAAAGTGTACGATTTTCCACAAGTCCAAATGAGGAATTGGAGCTTTGACTCATGCAGAAAAAGGAGAATTCTTGCAAAACAAGGAACTTAGGCTCACAGGAGCAGGAAGGTTAAACTCTAACAAATTACTAATACGAGCTAGTTTAATTAAGTTTAATAATTCATAGCTTGCAGTTGTTTTTAATCATGTCTGACTCTTTATGATCCCATTTAGGATTTTCTTGGCAAAGATACTTGAGTGATTTGCCCTTTCCTTCTCCAGCTCATTTTACAGACGAGGAAACTGAGGCAAACAGGGCTAAATTACTAGCCCAGGGTCATCAGCTAGAAAGCGTCTGAGGCCAGATTTGAACTTGCGAAGATGAGTCTTCTAACTCCAGACTTGGCATTCTCTTATCTGTGCCACCTAGCTGCCCAATCGTGAGCTATTATACCCAGAATTAAATAAGATTGATTGGGCTAGATTGCTTTTGGAAGTGTTTGGTGCTTTCATTGGTCCCAATTGTTGCTTACCATAAAAGCTACACACACATACATACTCTTGCAACAACCATCTGCCATGTGCCATGCACTGTATTTGCAATCAACAAATTTCCCTGAAGTAATTTTTAAAAATCCTTTTCAAGGAGCCAGGAAAGGGAAATGAGATGATCATTATAAGAAACAAGCATGATTCTGAAAACATAATTCAGTGCCTTTTTAAAAGTGAATTACCTCCCAAAACTGAATGTATAATCTACTTTTAGGGTTGAAATACTTTTCAGTGAGTCAGATCATAGATTTTACCTTAATTCTCTGAGGATTGGTTCAGTAGCTCTACAATACAGTCTGATACAGATTCATGGAATTAATAGGAGCTTAACTTGGAAATTAGGCAGCCCAAAGTACACTCAGAATATTTGTCAAATGTATGTTTGTGAATCTAGAATATAGTCCCTACCCTTTTGGAAACCTAGTTTGTTGCAAAAGCAACATACACCTAAATGGTCTGTGGGTGGGGAAGTGGAGTTTCCCTTAGATTCAGAAGGGAGCAAAAAAAGGATAATAATTGAGACAAGCTGATGGGCAGTTTTCTAACATAATGAAATCTTAGTAATAGCGTTGCAGATTTTCCTTCCCATTTGGCAGTCTTGCTCACAGATTAATATAAGTAAAACTGCAAACACATCTCAGTGTTTTTAAATGATCTTCCAACTATCTTTTTCTGTTTTTTTTTTCTTAGGGAGTTGACTCTTTTTTGGAGTAAGTTGCAAAGAAGAATTGATCCTTCTTTAGATATCTTTTTGGAGCGATGTCGACAGTTTGGTGTTATTGCTAAAACACAGCAACATCTCTTCTGCTTGATTAGAGTCGTACAAACAGAAGTAAGTACTTTAGGCTGTTCAGGAAAATGAAGCTCAGAAATAAAATGACCTGCCCACGGTTATGCGACTAATCAGTGCTGGAGCTTGGCATAAAAATATACATTATAAGACATTGTTGAAGGATAATGCCCTTTCCATGTGCATTCCATATTCTCTTTAGCATCATATTTTGTGTTCAAAAGCCAGTTATCTAACAGTATGCAGTGACACTTCTCTTTGGACAGGCCCAGATTATACCTGAGGTCATCACACTCCCAACTCTAATACTTTAGTATTTCAGGGTTGTACATCATGAACCACCACCTTGATTTCATGCAAGGATTATAATGTCAATTAAGTCCTTAACCAGAATCTTAGAATTTCATAACTGGTAGGGAATTTCTTGGAAAGGAGGAAGAAGTACCTACCATGTGCCAGGCATTGGGCTGAATGCTTTATGATATTTTGTCTTATCCGTACAAAAACCACAGGAATTAGTTGATATTATTATCCCTGTTTTATAGTTGAGGAAACTGATGCTTAAGAAGTTAGGTGACTTGCCATTCTAGCCAGTTTAATCCTTTCCTTATATAGAGGGGGAAACTGAGGCCCTGAGAAGAAAAAGGACTCACCTAAAGTCAAATCTAATGACTGAGCTAAGACTCTAACCCAAGTATCCAGATATGTACAGACTAGTGTTTTTTGCTATTTTTTTTCCATTGTAGTCTTCATTTCAGTAACCATTCCTATCATCATTCTTTGAAATACTTGTTTTCCTTCCTCCTTTTCCAGAAAGGAGAATGATCTTAAAGCTGGAAATGATGAAAAGGGAATTGAACCCTGGCTTAGATAAAGGCATTACAAGAGAGCATTGAGTCTCTTTCTTTACATGAGAGCAAGTCTCCAGTCCCAGAAAATTACTTTCCAGGATAATAATAACTGACATTTAAGGAAGCATTTAAGATTTTCAAGGCACTTTACATATGTTCTTTCATTTGACTCTGTGATTTAAGTGCTTTAGGTTTTTAATATCCCCATTTTACCAGTGAGGAAATTGATGCGTAAGGAAGTAATGTGCAAAGGAGTTCTGAAAGAATCTGTAAGTATGATTGTAGAACCTCTTTCTGCAATAATGACAGTTGGGCTAAGAATAGTCAAAGAAGATAAAATATGTTAGGTACATAGGAGTGTAATGATAAACTTACATAAAACTCTTTAACATGGTCAAAGACTGGGTGGGGTTGAGTGAATTGCCCTAAAAAGTTTGAGGAGATATAATGTTTGTTAGAAACAACCAGTAAGGAGGTTGTGGTCTCTGAATGAAGACATAATTACCTATTCTTGTTCCTGGAACAGAGGTGGAGAATCAGGAAGGTGGTATAGTATAAGGAACACTGGATATGGAGTCAGAGGACCTGAGTTTGAATGCTGCCCGACTGCTACTTACTACTACTACTACCACTACCACTACTACTACTACTACCTGTGTGACCTTGGGCAAGTCACACAACCTCTCTGGACCTCAGTTTTCCTCCTCTGTAAAGTGAGGGGGTTGGACTAGATGACCTCCAGTGTCCCTTCCAGCTGTCTGTGATTCTAAGAAAGATCATCAGATGGGTAATACATCATATAACTTTTTATATAATATATCTGTGCCAGGTCACGTAATTAGTAGTGCCTCAGTTTCCTTCATCGCCCAGTGGGCATAGGCACAGATGTGTGAATTATACAAAAATGCATCCTCCCTAAAGTGCTCCCAACACATTCATGTTCTGAATACTAATGGTTTGAATAAAAATGAAAACAAGATTGTTTTTTTTAAATGAACACACCGTATTGGTCACATGACCTTAAATTGGCTTGGTAGCTGACTTTCCAGCTTTCGTGTCTGCTCATACAGTTGCCCCTACCTAGAAAATCATACTCTCCTCTTAACTCTAACCTGTTTATCTAAGCTACATCCTCATGGGTCCACTTTGTCTTATTGCTTCTTTGAAGCCCAAACTACAACCACTTGAACCTTCTGTTGACCACAATACTGATAAGTATCAGTGTACATCTATGTGTATATTACCAAGTTATAAGTTTGAAGCTAGAGACTAAGTTTTGTACTACTTTGTATCTCCCACAGGAGAAGCTTAGGAAGTCTTGATTGTGGTGATTTTTCTCACTATTCGTTTTTATATGAGGTCAAGTGAGAGCCAGTTTGAATGTACTACGGGAGAGATGCAGGTTAAAGACTGGGAACATCTTCCTACTAAGATTGAGAGACTGGAACATCTTTCCAAAGCAAGTTATGTAGTTGTCTTAGGAAATATTTCAACCATTTGTCTGTTAGGTTTTTTAATTAGTATTATTTATTCTTCATTTTCAAAGAAGACCAGTGACATCACAGGATGGTGTTTTGTGCATGAATTAGATTTAAGTGGAGCAGAATTGTACAAAGTTATCGGTCTTACTCTCTTTTCCTGAATCATCAGCATCCAGTGGCAGGACAAAAGTCAGTATGACTGGAAGTACCCCGGGATTCAGTGAATGACCTTGGCGTCTTCGATGTCTGGCCAGGCTCTAAGCACTCTACAGTGCTTGCCTCAACCACCTTCATGACTGGTGGAACAAATTGTTCTCATCTGCCCTTTTCACCAGGGGAAGGTTTCATATGCTTGGGGTAGACAGCCCTCTTAATTCACCAACAAGTTGTGACCCGTTGGTTACCTTCAACCTGGTTTAGCCCATCTGCCAAAATGGTTTTACTGGGGTATGTGGCCACTGACCATGCTGTAGCTTCTTAGAGCCACAGGTGAGAGTTGAGTGCCAAGTAGACAACAAAGGTACATGAGCATCCTTTAAAGGGTCTGACAATCCCTCACTCCAGAGATGCTAGTTCTTTTTGAACACATACACTCCAGGCTTTTTAGTAAGGTTGTGCCCAAAACAGATATAGATAAGTTTTCAAAGGTGATATAGATTTTTGAGTTATAACTGGCAAGAAAAGAAAAGTGAAGAGTCTGTCCCTAAAGTCATTAATTTCACAGGTACAGAAATCTCACATAACTGAGATTCAAGTAAGATAAAGCTAGATTTCAAAAGGAAGAGAAAATCCGATATAAAGCTTTGGAATGTTTAGAAATCATAACAATAGTGCAGATTTTTATACAGATGTAATCAACTCTGTTTTCAGTCATTTGTTCAGATATACCCTCATTGCAAGGGCCAGAGAATAAGTACAGGACTGGAGAGCTGGTGAGGATATTTTTATATAATTTTCTTCTCTGTTTCAGGACAAAATTAAATTAACATTTTTTCCTCTTCTCTCTTCTGTTAGGCAGAAGATGCTGGTGTAGCAGTGTCCATTTTATTATGTGTGAGAGCCCTTCAGATTCGATCAAGTGAAGATGATGAAATGAAAACATCAGTGTGTAAAACAATTGGTTGTCTCTTACCAGAAGACCTTGAAGTTAGAAGAGCCTGTCAGCTTACTGAATTCTTATTGGAGCCCAGCTGGGCTGGATTTAATATGTTAGAAGAACTATACCTGCAACCAGATCAAAAGTTCGATGAGGAAAATGCTCCAGTTCCCAACTCTCTCCGATGTGAGCTTTTGTTAGCTTTAAAAGCCCATTGGCCTTTTGATCCTGAATTTTGGGATTGGAAAACTTTAAAACGACATTGTCACCAACTCCTAGGTCAAGAAGCTTCTGATTCTGATGATGACCTCAGTGGCTATGAGATATCAATTAATGAGACAGATGTTTTGGAGTCATTTCTCAGTGACTATGAAGAGAATAAAGATGATAAACATTCCAAAAGAAGAGATTCGGCAGATCAGCAGAAGGAGAAAAGAGACAAAAAGCCAATTGGTTCTTCTGAAAGGTACCAGCGATGGCTTCAATATAAGTTCTTCTGTGTGCTCTGCAAGAGGGAATGTATAGAAGCTAGGATACTCCATCATTCTAAGATGCATATGGAAGATGGAATTTATACTTGCCCTGTCTGTATAAAGAAATTCAAGAAAAAAGAATTTTTTGTACCTCATGTAATGGAACATGTGAAAATGCCACCAAGCAGAAGAGACAGACCCAGAAAGAAATTATTGATGAAAAGAGAACGCTCTCAGAAGGGTAATGGCCCAAGTCCTTCTGCAACATCAGATCAAAATCTGCCATCCAACGAACAGGGAGATTCTCATGAGTATGTTACATTCAGCAAACTAGAGGATTGCCACCTGCAAGATAGAGATTTATACCCTTGCCCTGGGACAGACTGCTCCCGAGTATTTAAGCAATTTAAGTACCTAAGTGTGCACCTCAAAGCCGAACACCAAAACAATGATGAAAATGCAAAGCATTACTTGGACATGAAGAACCGGAGAGAAAAATGTTCTTATTGTCGGCGACATTTCATGACAGCCTTTCATCTGCGGGAGCATGAACGAGTTCACTGTGGGCCTCAGCCTTACATGTGTGTCTCTATAGACTGCTATGCGACATTTGGGTCAGTGAACGAGCTACTTAATCACAAACAAAAACATGAGGATCTTCGATACAAATGTGAATTAAATGGCTGCAGTATTGTTTTCAGTGACCTGGGACAACTTTATCACCATGAAGCACAGCACTTCCGGGATGCGTCATACACATGCAACTTTCTTGGTTGCAAAAAATTCTATTATTCTAAAACTGAGTTTCAGAATCACCTTTCCATGCATAATGGTGACATTTCAAATGGAGATGTTAAGACAACAGTAAAGCTTGAACCTGCAGCAAATGAAAAGAACAGCTGTCAAGATCAGCATCATCTACTTGACCCAACTGAGAAATCACATTTACCTGAGGATCTGCTTTTCTCAGTGGAGTCGACTAGTTCTCAGTTAGCTCCAGATGTTGAGGAAATGGGCTCTGATAACCTAAAAGACAACAGTGACAGCAGCTCGAGCGATCAGTTAAGTCGCAGCTCATCTGCCTCAGTGAATGAAGAAATGATTGATACGCTGGACTCGCCTGAGACCGTGCCTGATGTTTTCATGTCCTCTCATGGTAAAGGTTTGGTCCCTTCCAGTTTAAAAGAGAAATGTTCCAATGTGGCAGTTTGTTTTGATGGGAAAAAGTTTACCTGTGGTTTTGAAGGCTGTGGTTCTACATACAAAAATGCTAGAGGTATGCAGAGGCATCTCCGAAAGATTCATCCATACCATTTCAAGCATAAAAAGACATTAGGAATAAAGGATAAAGAGATCTTTCAGTTTTTGGACAGTGAACACAGTCAAACAAATGAGAACTTCAGTGCTGCGCCTAAGCCAGGTTCAGACACAAACAGTGACTCCCCAGATGAAGGTCTGGATCACAATATTCACACAAAATGTAGAAGTAATCTTCAGAGTTGCCACCATCCTCCAGAAGCCACCATTTGCGCTTCCAGAGTGCCGTGTACTGAGGATGCCATGTTGGAGCTTCTGTTACGCCTGAAACACTTAAGCTTGAAAAACTCAATAACATCTTTCTCAGGGTCACTGCCAGTGTATCCATCCAATGGTGCTAAGTCCCTTCAGTCAGTTTCATCAAGCCCTATCTCAGACCTTCACTTTCAGAATCAAGAAGAAAATTTGTCAAGTCAATATCTTGCACAGTTGGCAGCCAAGCCATTTTTCTGTGAACTTCAAGGCTGCAAGTATGAGTTTGTGACCAGAGAGGCTTTGTTGATGCATTATGTCAAAAAACATAATTATTCCAGAGACAAGGTTCTACAGTTATCCATGTTTCAGCATCGATACTCACCTTTCCAGTGTCATATTTGCCAAAGGTCATTTACCAGAAAAACCCACCTTAGAATTCATTATAAAAATAAGCATCAGATTAGCAATGAAAAAGTCACTCATAAATTATTTGATAATGGAAAATGTGATCATGCCAGCCCATGCACAGGGGATCATTTGAAAGGTAATGTCATGGGTAGTTGCTCTGCTTCTACTTTCTGTGGCAGCACAGAGCTTGGAGATGATCAGTCTAATAATTCTGAGAAGCAAATCCGACATCCTAAAAAAGAAGAGTGTAGTTCAGAAACTGATTTGGAATCTTCTTGTGAAGAAATTGACAGTAATGTGACAGGAAAATCATCCAGCATTTCATCACCAATAGATAGCCACAGGGAAGAACTAGAAGCAAGAGAGGGAAGAGGGAGTAGAAGGACTGTTGCCAAAGGAAATCTGTGCTATATTTTGAACAAGTACCACAAACCATTCCACTGTATTCATAAAAGTTGCAATTCTTCATTCACAAATCTAAAGGGCTTGATTCGCCACTATCGAACAGTGCATCAGTATAACAGAGAGCAGTTGTGTTTAGAAAAAGACAAAGCACGAACAAAAAGGGAACTGGTCAAATGTAAAAAGATATTTGCTTGCAAATATAAAGAGTGTAATAAGCGCTTCCTATGCTCCAAAGCACTGGCTAAACACTGTAGTGATTCCCATAACTTAGACCCTGTTGAAGATCAGAAAGCCCTTTCTGAGACTGACTCTGCTGCCAGGTTTCCCTGTAGCCAACCACAGTGCCCGGCTGTCTTCTACACTCTTAACAAGTTGAAGCAGCATTTGATGGAACAGCATGGTATTGAAGGAGAGATGAACTCAGACTTTGAAATTCATTGTGACCTTAATGGCTGTGATCGAATCTTCACTCATCGAAGTAACTACTCTCAACACGTGTATTACCGACACAAGGACTATTATGATGATCTCTTTGGAAATCCAAAAGTGGAAAATGAGAGTGTACTGAGAAGTGAAGGTGAGAAAGGTTTTGGAACCAGCCGGGCTCACAGTGAAGCAAGTCAGAATAATAAGAAGTCATTGAATGCTAAAACTAGAAAATGTGGCAGCCTCATTAAAGAGAAAAAGCTTCCAATCATTTTTAAAACAAAAGAGGAAGCCCTAAATATGTGTGCAGAGCAATCTGAACACACTCAATATCCCTGCATGATTCAAGGCTGTGCATCTGTTGTCAAATTGGAAAGTAGTATATTAAGACATTACAAACGTACCCACCAAATGAGCAGTGCTTATTTAGAGCAGCAGATGGAAATCCTAGTAGTTTGCGTTAAGTATGGTACCAAAATTAAAGAAGAGCCAGCCTCTGAGATAGAGCCTTGTATAAAGAAGGAAGAAACCGGAAACTGTGAACCAGGAAGCACAGTGCATACCCACCCCCCAGGTGAAAATGAAGCATCTCTCCAGAAAAGCAACAGTTCCCCTCATCCAGAAAATAAAGGAAATGGGAGTCAGGAAGGGTGTGTAGAAAGTAATTCGGTATTTAATACAGATACCTTCCTGTATAGAGAAACTTCAAAATGTAACCATAGTTCAGAAACCACTAGCTTGGAAGAGTGTCGTGTCACTGAGCCCCCTCCCTGTAAAACTGAAAAGTCTGCACCTAAGAACAGTGATGGAACTGAGAGCAGGCCCTATTTAACAAATTTCCAGTTGCCTTTACCAAGAAAAAGGGTGCCAGAAGCTGGACACCATAGCTCTAGACTGGAAAGCAATGTGGTAAAAACTCCAATTCATGTCCCAAAAGATACATTTCGGAAACATTCGCAGGCCAGATCATTTGATTTGAAGACTTATAAACCCATGGGGTTTGAATCTTCATTTTTAAAATTCATTCAGGAAAGTAAAGAAAAAGAGGATGATTTTGATGATTGGGAGCCAGCGGAGCACTTAACAGTAAATGATGTCCCACAGCCCAATGATGACTTAGCAGGGAATGTGACTGTGGATAGCTTAGTGAATGAAAGCAACCCTAAAGTTGATATACCTCTTCCTTCCAGTGATTCTGCAATTCATGACAACCTGACCACAATCCAGCCTATCATTGTAGCAGAGTCATCAACTGTCCCTTCCCTCGAAAATCTGAGGGTCATATTAGATAAGGCATTAACAGACTGTGGAGAACTTGCCTTAAAACAGCTTCATTATCTGCGGCCGGTGGTCGTCCTGGAAAGATCAAAATTTTCCACATCTCTTTTAGACTTGTTTCCAACAAAAAAAACAGATGAGCTTTGTGTAGTAGGGAGTTCCTAAGTAGCAATTTTGTTTTAGAGAACAGACTGGCTCCAGTACTGCAGCATAGGGACAATTGCCAACGCGAACAAAGGCTGAGCAGCAGCCACACCATTGTTTAGGGTAGGGTAGGCTGTGCATTTTCATGAATGTATAATATCTTTGTCAACAGTATTGGCAGCGTTCATTAGCTCCCCAGTTGGTTTGTTTATTGGTTGGTTTTTTTTGTTTTGTTTTGTTTTATTAAGAAAATGGAACTGTGCTCTGTTTGGTGCTAATTAATACATCAAATATACTGGGGCTTCCTTTTTCAAATTAAGTGTGCATGATTGTATATGGAACAGATTCTGAGGCCCCAGGGTGGGAGGGCTGGGGGGAGGGAGGCAGGCAGAGTTCTTACTTGACTTGAATGTGCACCTGAGGGTGCTTTGTGTAATATATTGTACACTACAGCATCTTATATTTTTTGAGTTGAGTTTCAATAAATTACAATTTTTCACCCATTTCTGGTTTAATTGGCAAGAGTTTTCATGCCACTCCCAGGATGGAATGGACATGTGTTCTTGTGTTTCTTTTCTGTCATGACTAATGAAGCAGTCAGGTTTAGACTTCTTTAAAGAAGAATCATTGTTTTAAAATGTGGAAATGAAAGGGAGGGGGCAGTACTTTATGCAACCTGGAATTGTAGAACTCACTGTCACATAGTTCACTGAAATTTCATATGTAACCTCACCAAAAGGACACTTCCAGACTTGTGTGAAGAGTGACCCTGATATGACTTATAAGTCACACGTTTTGGGGCAGCTCAGTGGCACAGTAGATAGAGCACTGGCCCTGGAGTCAGGAAGGACCTGAGTTCAAATCTGGCCCAGACACATAACACTTACTAGCTGTGTGACTGTGGGCAAGTCACTTAACCCCAGTTGCCTCACCCCCCAAAAAAATCACATCTTTTGTGAACTTTTAGAAATGGGAGGCAGAGAGAGACTTGAACAGAAGGAAGTAGAGAGAGTACTGTTTGTTGGCGGGGCAGGTTTCTGCACATGCTATTAGAGATAATTGAACTAAGATATCCAGGGTCTTTTTTTTTTCTGTTATCCATGAGGATAATACACTACTGAAATCATAGGTCTATCTAAGTATCTAGGTTTTAATGCTCCTAGAGATGTTCTCCTCTACCCTTGTTTCACCATTCTGCATACAATAACACCAGCTTTCTTTATATCCTCTATCCTACTATACTTCATCTTTCCATAAATCATATTCCTGTTCTTACTCTTACCCTGCAGTTTCTTGATTACTCAAATCCCCAGTCAGCCTAATCCCAAACCAGCCCAGTGACTGCTCAGTGGAATATTGTAAAGGTGATTCTTATTCAGGTACCGATTGGTCTACATGGTCTCTGGTGTCACTTCCAACCTAGAATTTCTATGGTTCACACCAAGTGCTTACTAACGGTAACTCTGGCCCTTTATTGTTCTTTAGTTTCCTAAACTTTTCAACACAAATGTTTTGGTAACTTTTTAAGTTAGTAAGTTAAAAGTCAGTGATTGATTTTAAAGTGGGAATAATAATCTGTCACTCTTTCAAGATAAGAATCTTATATGAAGACAAGAGCAATTTCATCTTCAATTCCTTTTCACTGGGAGGGAGTCTGGAAACCAGTCAGGTTGTCTCATGCTGCAACTAGTTCATGACCTGAGCTTTTAAGTAAGTCCGTTTCTCTTTCTGGACTTGTCTTCCTTGTCTATAAAATGAGAGTGTTGAACTAAGTGATTTCTGTCTGAGGTCTCTTCCTACTCTGACATTCTCTGAATACAAGGTACTGCGAGATTGTGCTATATTCATTTTGATCGACACTTAGTACTTACACTGGGGCTGAGAGGAGGATGGGAAGGTGGGCACTGTGCTAAGTAGTGAGGCTACAGAGAAATGAATGAAAATCATCTCCCTAAACAATCTAAAATTTTACTTTGGGGATAGGTCAAATACATAGAAGTAAATGAAAATATGTGCAAACTAAATACATCCATACTTCCTAGAAGGAAAGAGAGGTTATAGACAACTACTGAATTTGATAAAGGATTTAAACAGAACCACTGAAATTGTGTTCCGAAGGAAGTCAAGAAATTCTTAAAGATGGAAGTGGGGGGAGAGAATGGTCCTGCATTTAGGGCTAGGGGGGTTTGGACTGTGCAAATGCACAGAGGTGGGAGATGTAGTGTCAAGTACTGGGAGCAGCTAATGAAATAAGAATGGAAAGAGTAAGTAGGAGCCTCATTGTTCAGGACTTTAAATACCAGGCTAAAGATTTTGTATCCCATCCTAGTGGCAATAGGAAGGCAATGAAAACTGTTGTAATTGAGGAGTGATACGCTCACATCTGTTTTGGAAATAGCAACTTGTACGTTGTATAGAGCAGAGTGGTCAAATTTGTAGCTGTACTGGTTGCTGCATGTTAGAAAAACGTTACATTGTAATTTTTTTATTTTGTTGAAAGATTTCCTATTATATTTCAATCTGGTTTGGCCATCAGGTGCTGCTTGCTCAAGTTTGATATCTGGAGTAGAAAATATGTGAGAGAAGGAAGAAGTAGGGGAAACAATTAGGAGGCTATCATAATAAGTGATAACATACCTAAACTAGGGTATGAGTGAAAGGAAAGGGACACATGAAAGTTGTGGAGGTAAGAGAAGACAAGATTTGGAATGGGAGTAAAGCAGAGGAGTCAAAGATTAATGCCCAGATTGAGAAACAGTGGTTTACTAAAAGGACGGTGGTGTCCTCTACAGAAATAGAGAAGTTTGAAGTAGAGATGAGTTTGTTGGAACATAGGAATTCCATTTTGAACAAATTGAGTTCCAGACGTTTGCCCTTCTCACTTATGTCCCTTAGTATTCCCCTTAGTTCACAACTAAGTATATACATTCACAACTAGGTGTATACATTCCCAAAACCATACCTACATACCCCACAGTGTTGTCTTCCCTGGTGGAATGTGAGCTTCTTGAGGGCAGGGACCTGATCTAACTTTTTTTGTGTGTGTGTTTCAAGCACTTGGTAGAGTACCTGGAACCATAAGTACCATAGGTGCTTAATGCTTATTATTTATTACAAGACATCCAAATAGACATGATGTGGGAATGAAGCTCAAGGCTAGTATTGAGCATAAAGATTTGGTAGTCATCTGTGTAGAATTGTTAATTGAATATGTGGTAGCTGATGAGTTCTCTAAGAATATAGAGGGTCAAGAAGGCACATAGCCTTGGAGTGCACCCACACTTCATGGGGAGGAAGAGGATGATCCAGCAAAGGAAATTGAGGAGCAATGGCCTGACAGAAGGAGAATAATGTTTTGGAAGCCAAGATAAAGTTCCTAGTACAAGAGAATGGTTGACGTCAAAACTATAGAGATCATACATCAAGAGCTTTTAGTCATTCCTGATGATTCCTGTTCTTAATTGTTCATCACAGACAGATCCTGTATCTTAGTATGATAATTCTCAGTTGTTGCTATTTGGACTGAGTCAGAAATGCTGCTTACACCTGAGTGCCAATAAACTTGTGAATCATGGCTTCAATTTCAGTTTTGCTTTGATACTTCAAAGTCATTTTAAATTTAAGATAAGATATTCAACTACTGATCCCTGTTTGGGGAAAGTGTTAATACATTGCATCACTTAACAAGATGTACTTCATCTAAACTTCAACAGACCATTTTGCTTAGGCTAAACAGGCAAGGAGTTATTAAATGTTTGTCCTATTATCAGGCTCTCTCCTATAAAGCTTATCAGTTCATGGCTTCAGTTAATTCTGACAATATTCTCTTATTCTATCCCTGTACTTTGCCTTTAACTTCAGGTCTATAATATCCTATAGATACTAATATCTGGCATCTAGTTTAGTCCCAAACATCAGCTTCTCACCCTTCACCAGCATTCATTTTTTTTTTTTAGGCAAAAAGCTAAGAGTCACTTATTCTTCCTGATGTTAGATTCCCCCTCCTCCAATTCACTCTATGTATATATTACAATCCTAAACAGTGTTACCATGTTACACACGTACCCCAAAGCTAAAAAAAACCAACTTTCTTCTACCTCATCAATTCTAAATTCTGCTAGGCTTTCAATCTGGTCCCATATTACATGCCAAACATGCATTTTCTAGTCAGAGAGCATCTTCTTGGCCATCAGTGAAATAAAATGAACTTCTGCCCCAGTCTTCATCCCTCCTCTTGCCCTCCCAATGCTATTCTACCAATTGAAACCCTATCCAGCCTTTAAAACCTATGTCTATGAAATGTACCTTCATTATTCTAACCCTTACTGATCTTCATCTTCTCTGAACTCAGTCTGCCCCAACATACAGTACATAACTTGTATATTTTCCTGTTCTCCTATGCATTTTAATCTTTTCTTTCCTTGAGTTCTCTGGATGAGCAAAGATTATGTTTCAGGCTTCTTCACAGAGCAACTGACAAAGGACTAAGTATAAAGATTGAGATGTATTAAATGGTAATGCAGTAAATTTTGAGGGCCCAACTTGTATATATCTCCTTATTCTCTTCCATCACTATATGCTGTGCTATCTCACTGAACCCAACAGAAGGATCCCATTCCACGATCACTCCTGTTGGTCTCCTGGTGGGAATGACAATGCAGAACTGAAAATCGGGAGACGTGATTGGCATTGGGGACCTCTCAGTTTACTATGACTTGAATATATGGTTCAATCTCTAAAAGTCTCAGGTTCTTCAACTATAGAATAGTTATTTAGTAATTTTTCAGTCATGTCTGACTCTTCATGACCCCATTTAGGATTATCTTGGCAAAGATACTGGAGTGGTTTACCATTCCTTCTCCAGCTCACTTTATAGATGAGGAAACTGAGGCAATTTGCCCAGGGTCATGCAGCCAGTAAGTTTCTGAGGCCAAATTTGAACTTGGGAAGATGAACCTTCGTGACATCTGGCTCAGCACTCTATCCACTGTAATACCCTTCTGTAGAGTAGAATTAACCATAATATACACTACTTTGCAGGGTTGTAATAAAAATAAATTTAAGACTATAGGTTTGGAGCTGGAAGATGCTGTACAGAAATGACTTGGAGATGATTTAACTTGATCCCCTCATTTTGTAAATGCAGTGAAGAGTCCTAGGAGAGGTTAACTTGTGTGAGATTTCATAACTGACTGAGCCATGTTTTGAACCCAGGTCCCTGGACAAGTTTTGCACTACACAACTTTTGAAACCTTAAAAGTGCTGTAGAAATGTTACCTGGTATGAGTAACAGGACAATAGGATGATTTGGAGAAGGGACAGGGAAAGAAAGATATATAATATCCTGACTTGGTCATCCTATCAAATGGCCTGTGGGGTAATGACATCATAATGACACAGTTCATCATAAGCTGAAGAGCAGCCTGTACCTGACAGGCACACTCCTGTGGCTGCTAATAACAAACCTGGACTCCCAAGGCCTCTGATGAAAGGTTCTTCCCTGCATGTTACACATGTAGTTCCAGGAGTTGCAATATGGGTGAAATGTCATCATCATCTCCCTTGGCTCAAACTTCAGGATTCTTCTCTCTCACCTCACTTTGGAACTGGCTGCAAGAGAATAATCTCATTTTGAATTCAGATTCTTGGCTTTCAGAATACATAAGTCCAAGCTGGCAAACCATCTTTTGGATTATCCTTTCCTTTTTCCTGCTAGTAGGAACATATGCCTTTTGGAAACGAACTTTTCAGTCAATTAAGGTTATATTCTTTTATGTTACTGAGGAATTTAAGCAATTGCACAAGAGATGTAATTACTATTAACAGTCTGAAGAGTTTTTAAATTGGGTTGGTATTTTCAGAAATGAGCTCTGGTCACTTAAGAGAATCAATGTGTAGCATGTTTTTGCATTTGCACCAAGTCATATGACCAAGGTGGAGAACAGGACTCACTGGGAATCAATAGAAGGAAATGAAGATTTAGTCTGGTTGAAAAGAGTTGTTGGAATGGGACATAACAACTGTCTTCAAATATATTAAGGATTTATTGGGAATGGGGGCTTAAATGGTTGAGCTAGGCTCTCAAAGGGTAGAACTAGGGGCTACATGAGCAGAAATTACAGTAAAAAAACATTCTAGGCTGGTTATGAGGAGGAGCTTCCTATGCAGAGGTAGTGAGATCCCCTGTCCTGTTTCAAGTGTAACCTGTGAGATCACTGATGGTTATAAAAGAGGATTCATGCTTTACATGAGAGTACTCAAAATCCTCTGAAATTCCTTTTAATAGTGGGATGTCATGATTTTTTGGTACTGAGAGTGTTCTTAGTACTCTCTGCTTCCCCCAGCTCAAGTAAGTAGACACTGAGTAGTGCCTGTTGACTTTCCTTACTTCCCTTCCCTGCCCCTTTCTCCACCTCTGAAATGAGGGAGGCTATAATCTAATGTCATTTTCATCCCCATCATTGTTGCACGTGTGTCCAAATTAAGGTGAACTGGAGAGTTGAGTTGAATCACCCAAATATAAGATGGCCAAAGAGTCCTATGAGGGTCCTAGGACAAGAGTCCAGGGGGAACTTGGAATAGTTGAAGGTAAGCCAGCATTTTAAAGAATCTTCAATATAAAGTTCAGATTTTTTAAAAAATGTAAGTTGATCTGAACTTAAAAGTTGGTTGCAATGTTTAAAATTCTGGAGCAAAGTTCAAATTTAGTTGGTTTTGTTTTTTTGGCTAGGCAATGGGGTTAAGTGACTTGTCCAGGGTCACACAGCCAGTAAGTGTCAAGTGTCTAAGGCCAGATTTGAACTCGGGTCCTCCTGACTCCAGGGCCAGTGCTCTATCCACTGCACCATCTTGCTTCCCCTGCAAAATTCAAATTCAATAGACTTCAAATGCCTGCTGTGGGTTCAGGTAAAGTGCCTGTGCTGGGGGCTAGAGATATTAAAAAAAAATTTTTAGTCCCCCAGAGGAAGTTCATGACACATAAGTCTAAAACAGAGTAAGGGCTAAGGAAGATTCAGATCAAGTGCTTCTAGGAAATTTGAGGAGGAGGAGGTTGAAGGGGAAGTGTAGAGATCTGTGACTCCTACGTATGGAGGAAGTGTTACCTGAGCTGACCTAGTGGAAGGGAAGGATGTGGAGATGTATTTATTGCCAGCATATGGGGTGGCTAAAATGAATGGACTTAGCGCCATTTGGCAAGAATGTGGAGTGTGCAGGAAAGGAATAATGTTAAATTTTAAGATGAAGAAAGGTAGACTGGGGCCATGTGGTGGAGACCTTTAAAAAGTGGTATTTTGTCCTTTAGCAAAAGATAGCCACTTAAGGCTCTTTGTCTACAGAGTGACAGTCAAACGTGCTCATTAAATTATTTTGGAAACAAGGCATTAAGGATAATTTCAAATGGATGAAAAAAACTTGGAAAAAGTAACAGGGTAGCTATGTGGTGCAGTAGATAGAGCACCAGGGTTGGAGTCAGGGAGACCTGAGTTCAAATCCAACCTCAGCTTCTTATTAGCAATGTGAGCTAGTCATTTAACCTTCCAGGATGGTTTTAAGGATCAGATGAGATCATTGTGAATGGCTTAGCACTGTGCCTGGAACACAGTAAGTGCTATGTCAATGTTAGGTAGCATCATTATTATTATTATTTTGGAGACCATCTAGGACATAGGTAATAGTGCAGATGAGAGGTGATAAGCACCTTGACCTAGGGTAGTAGCTATGGGAGTAGAAGAAAACATGAGAATCCCCAAGGACTTGGTAAGAGGTTATATTTTGGGAGGCAGAGGGAGAGTCAAAGATCGTTCCAAGGTTTTGATCCTGAATGACTAGGAAGATTGTGTACCATACCAGAAGTAGGGAAGCTGGAGGGGGTGGGGTTGAGGGGAAAGAAGACATGTCGTAGAAGCAAGACCTAAGTAAGCCAGATAGCCTCTGCACAATGGAAGTAGCTCCAGCCTTGGCGTTAGAAGACCTGATTTAAGTACTGCCTCTGTGGCTTACTGTGTGTGTGTGTGACCTTGGGAGCGACTTTGCTTGGAGCTTCAATTTTCTTTATTTGTCAAATAGAAAGAATCATTTATCATTGTATAACTATAAATATTTTTCTGTACTATTTTAGTCCTAGGCCTGGCCTCCTAGAGAAATGGTAGTACATGTATAAAAACAACCCAGGCAGGAAAAAGCCCACTCACTGACCCTGTCTCCCCTTCCCCCCAGAATTCCTTCTTTGGATTCTTCAAACTTAACATGTCCAAAATAGAACTCATTATCCTCCTCCTTCCCATTCCCACTTCCAGATTTTCCTATTCTGTCAAGGGCACCAACCTCCATGTCATTCCCTGTTACCTAGCTAACCTCAGAGACATCCTTTACTCCTTCCTCTCCCTCAGCTTAGCCATCCTAACTAGCCCAGCCATCAGCTAGCCTTCCTCATCTTTTGCACCTATTGATTCGTCTGTATTCACGTACGTCAGATATGTCATATGTCAGGCCTTGTGACTTTTCACCTGGAACATCAGTAATCTAATTGGTCTCCTTGTTTTGCCACAGCTGTCATGAACCTCCTCTTCAGTGGCTCTCCATTGTCTAGATTGTAGAACAGAATACAAATCCCTTAGCCTGATATTTAAGGCCTTTCACAATCTGGGTCTTATTCCACTTTAGAACAATGCTGGAAGGTTAAGAAGTTTTTGAGTGAAAAATCTGGCTCTTAGTAACTTTGCTTCCAGTTCTCACCTTTGAGGTCAAATTAAATAAACCCTCTTGCCCCTGACAGCTCATCATAGATTTCTCTTCTCCAAGCTAACAATCTCTAATCTGGCGGCCTATCTCTAATTTCATTATCCTGGTTACCCTCCTGATTTTCTCCAAATCCTATAATGTGAGGTCCAGAATGAACCATAACTTGACCAGGATAACAAGTTCTCATTTCACATTCCTGGATAAGGGTATGAAAGTTCTTTGGGATTATAGCCATCAGTTTTGTTAATTTTCTGTAAGAGAAAACCCCTCATCAGAGAGAGAGAAAGAATGTAAAAGTAGCAGGGGTCCCGTTAGATGAGGATTATGGGTGGTGTTGATAATAACAGCTAGTTATTTATATATAGTTTTATATGTATATATAACTTATATTTAATATTATATATGCATATGTTTATATGTGCATATGTTTAAGTATATATGTATGTGTGCATTAAAATATGTATATATGTGTGTATGTGTATATATATATGTGTGTGTGTGTGTGTGTGTGCATATATATATATATATGTATGTATAACAGTTACCATTTATATATTTATATATAATGCTTTTGGTAGCTAGGTGGATAGAGCACCAGGCCTGGAGTCTTGGGAAGACTCCTTTTCCCGAGTTCAAATCCAGCGTCAGATACTTCCTAGCTGTATGACCCTGGGCAAGTCACTCAACCCTATTTACCTCAGTTTCTTCATTTGTAAAAATGAGCTGGAGAAGGAAATGGCAAACCACTCCAGTATCTTTACTAAGAAAACCCCACAAAAAGTCAGATATGATTGAAACAACTGAACAACAAATATAATACTTTAAGACTTGCAAAGTTATCCTCACGACAACTCTGGGAAGTAGATTCTATTATTATCCCCATTTACAGATGAAGAAATTAAGGAACAGAGGGGTTAAGTGATTTTCCTGGGGTCACAGAGCTAGTGAATGTCAGAGAGTTAGATTTGAACTTAGATCTTCTTGACTGTAGGTCCAGTGCACTGTCTTCTGTGCCACCAAGCTTTCAGTTCGTCTGAATAGGACTGTCCTGGAGTCAGTGGGAGAGGGGCAAAGGCTGGAGTTCACCTGTGGAAAAGGGAGCATTTGAGGCAATAATTTATTTGGTAGACTGAGTATAGGCAGAGGATCTTATCCTGGGCTTTGTGAACTTCTAAAATTCAAATCAATATTCAAATATTGTATCTCAACAGAATTGAAATATTGGATATTTCAATAATTTGAGATATTGGATATTTCAAATAACATCAAACAGTATTTTGCAGATCATTGTATTTCAATAGAACTGGTTTCCCTTGAGATCCTATGTGTTTTATCCATTTAAAAATACGATCCTAAGAAGGGGTCCATCAGCTTCACCAGAGTGACACAAAAGAGGTGGAGAACCCTGAGAGCAGAAGGGACAGCATTCACTGGGTGGTGGAGAATCCTCGGTATGTCCAGAGGCCAGGGTTCTAGTGAAGGCTCTGTCTCTTAACATGTTGATGGCCAAGTCATTACCTCCTCTCCAGGCCTCTGTATCCCCATCTGTCAAATGAAAGACATTCTGTGGGACCACAAGGTTAGACTGAACTGCCTGTGTATTTTTAGAACTCTCATCACATACTAGGCACATGGTCACAGCTTCTCTGGGTCTCAGTTTCCATATCTGTAAAATGAAGGGATGGGCTAGAGCAATGGTGCCAAACTCAAAGGAAACTGGATGATGGGACACGTGCTGACTGGGGAAACCACAAATTAACATCTATATTGTATTGTATTTTTACTTATTTTGTTAAACACTTCCCAGTTACATTTTAATCTGGTTCTGGAGATAAGTGGGGCACATCTGAGCCGGATAACTTCTCTAATGCTGTAATCCTAAAATGTTCACAACAGGCTTTTCTTAGAAGCCTCCTGGGCCATCTTAGAAAGATTTGTATGATGAGAGTATGGCTTGCGGGCTCTGCTCTTGGCTGACTTGGAAAGGAGTTTGGGTTCCTTTTTCTGCTTTTCAGGGATAATCACACCCTAAGCGTCCCCAAGGTAAGAGGCATTTTCCCCACCATACATGACTAGTAGATGATACCTATATGGTGTCTGTGAGCCAATCACTTAACCCATCTGGTCTTCAGTACCCTCATTTTTAAAATAAGAATGTTAGGCACTAGTCAGTGGTGTCAGATTCCAGGCCTGGGCCTCGAAGTTTGAACCAGGTTAAAATGCGGTCAGGAAATGTTTAACACAACAAAAGTAAAGTTTGTTGTTTAGTCTTTTCAGTTTCGTCGGACTCTTCATTGACCCTATTTGGAGTTTTCTTGGCAAAGATACTGGAATGGTTTACCATTTCCTTCTTCAGCTCATTTTACAGATAAGGAAACTGAGGTAAACAGGGTGAAGTGACTTGCCAAGGGTCATACAGCTAATAAGTGTCTGAGGCCAGATTTGAACTCAGAAAGATGAGTCTTCCTGATTCCTGGCCCTGCTCTCTATCCACTGTGCCACCTAGCTGCCTCCCCCCCGCCCAAAAAATATAATACCATCTAGATAATGCTAATTTGTGATTTTCCAAGTCAACATGAAGTCCAGCAGGGGTGTGTTTCTACTTCAGTTTGACACCATTGGCCTAGATGAGATCTATAAGGTCATTTCTAATTCCAAATCTATGCCCCTATGACTAAGTTAAAGACAAAGAAGAAAAAAAAATCTGATCTAATGTATTGGTTTTTTTTGGTGAGACAATCAGGGTTAAGTGACTTGCCCAAGGTCATACAGCTTGTTAAGTGTCTGAGGCTGGATTTGAACTCAGGTCCTCCTGACTCCAAGGCCAGAGCTCTGTTCACTGCACCACCTGGCTGCCTCTCATGTATTGGTTTGAAAGACTGCCTTCTGAGGCAGGTCCTGGCTGGAGCCCCTATTCTGCTTGGTCTTCTGTACTCTAAGGTTGCTTTGAACAGTTTTTTAAGCAAATCTCTAATGTAGGATCAGCTTCCTAGTCCCCAGTGAAAAATGGAATGACATTTCATGTTCTGGCCACCCTTGTCCTAGAGGTCACCTCCATTTCTCTTATTCCAACCCAACCATTGCCGTAGTCCCTGTGGGAGTCAGGGAGGATCCCCTGTGGAAGAGGACACATGAGGATTACCTTGGAGGAAGCTAGGGATTCTAAGAGGCAGCTGTGCTGTATTAGCCACTGACGGAGCCCTAGACGGAGTCAGGACTTAGCACTGTGTGCTAAGCGCTTTACAAGTATTATCTCATTTGATCCTCACAGTAACCCTGGCAAATAGGTGCTATTATTATAGCCACTTTATAGTTTAGGAAACTGTGGCACAGTGCAGTTAAGTGACCTGCCCTGGTTCACATAGCCAACAAGTGTCCAAGATGGGAGTTGAACTTGGGCCTTTCTGACTCCAGGTCCAGTGCTGTATTCACTGCCCTCTCTAGCTGACTTAAATCAGGAAGCTGTCTTCCCCCATTTGATCAAGAATCAGGGGTTAGTTCCCTCTGGCTCTGACAGTCTATGTTCTGAGGTGTCTTTCGGCCCTGCAGTGTGGCATGGTATATAGAAGATTGGACCCGGAGTCAGGAATAGGGTCCAACACTCCCATAGGCACTTAACTGTCAAGTGTGTGACCTCTTTGAATCTGTTTCCTCATCGGTAAAAGAGGAAGGATAATAGTATCTGTCAACAGGGTTGTTGGGAGAAACAAATAAATGTCTGCAAAGCACTTTGAAAACCTTAAAAGCAGTGTATAAATGTCAGTTATTGTTGTGAATAAGCAGAGGGTAGTGATGGGGAAGTACATTCCAGGCATAATGGACACAACCAGTGCCACAGCACAAGGGTAGGAGTTTAAGGAGCAGAAAGGAGGCCAGTTCAGCTAGAATGCAGAATGCACGGGAGGGAATGGTGTGCGGTAAGCCAGGGAAGATCGGCTACAGCGATTGTGAAAAGTTTTTAGTGTCCATGTAGGTGGTTAGGTTTTTTCCTAGACCCAATAGGGAGCTCCTGAAGATTTCTTTAGACAGCACTTTCTTCATGATATGCCTGTAAAGTAGGTGACATAAGATACTGCAATATTCTATGGATAGGGAAACAGGCTTGAAAAGATGAAATCCTCAGATCTCCAAGTTCATTGTTATTTCTACTCTACCATGTGCCGAATAGGGTAAGGATGTGCTCTAATGCATTTCTAAAGGAAACATAATGCCTTGGGTTGAAACAAAAAGATTTCTCCAGGGGAAAAACCTGGGGAGAAAACACTCAGCTAGAATCCCTATTCCCTAGAGATTCGGAATAAGAGAGTGTTTTGCCCAATTAATAACTATTTATATAACACTAGGATTTACAAAAAGTGGGTAGCACTAGGACCCTTATCCCCATTCTTTAGATGAGAAAGTTAAGGCCATGAGAGGCTGAGTGACAAGCCTCACTAGAATTGGGTTGATTAGTAATGTTTTCATGTACATAAGTGTAACCAACTTACGGGTTTTTTTTTTCCTTTAGAAAATCATCATCTTTATTAATTTACTCCTTATGCTTTACAAGAAGGGCACAGATCTTTTTCAAGATATATTGTCCAACAACAGTGGAAGAATAAGCCATTACCCCACTAGTCAAGGTAGCAATAACATGTTGGTCACCCTGAGCCTGCAGGAGAAAATCCTCCAAAAGCTTCAGATGGTAGAGGGTAAAGTGAAGGACCTGGAGGATTTGATCATGACCTACAAAGGTGGCAAGAATTGCACAAGGCCCTCTTCTAACTGCTCGAACTGTCGGAGCCCCCTGCCCACTTCTGGGTTTACCTCTACTTCTGAACAATGAAGCCAGGATGAGGAGTCCACCCCTTTCCAGAAAGGCCTCCATCTATCATCTTGAGTGGCGTGTGGAGTACAAATAAAATGCCTCATATTCCTGATCTGGCTTTGTAGCCGCCTGTTCGTGCACTAGATTATTTCTCTTTCCTAGGAGGGAAAGAGAAGATTCCCATGGAGGTGGGGTCTAGAGGGGGCTGGGACATACATGAGGTGGCAGCAGCACCCACAAACATTAAGAGGCTCCCCAGAAAATGGTGTTCAAAGCATCAATCACCTACTGAGGTCCAACCCCAGAAATAGAAGTTAGTAGAGAAGAAGAGGACAAGAGGCATTCTGGATGAGAGAAAAGAGTGATATGGGAAAGGTAAATAAATTCCATGGAATATGGATCTAGTTTCCTACTTGGTATGTAGGGTTTGGTCTAGAACTGTGATTCTGCTGGTGTAGCAAATTTGTGGCTGAGGAAATTTCCTCTACCAGGGAAGATAAGCAATTGCTTGGCAACTTTTGTCTTAAGAAAATAATTAAACAACCCAGATTAATATCTTTGGAATGGTAAACTGGGCCATCTTTTGTCTGAATTTTTACCTAGACCTTAGTCATTGAATGAGTGTGGCCACAGACAAACTGTGACCTGGGGAAGACCCTAATTTAGAAAGACCAAGGTCACCTGTTGCACTGTGGGCCATCACCAGTTGTCTTGACCTCTGTCTTGCCACTGGACTCCAATGACTCTGCAGGAGAGAGTGAAGCTGACTACTTTGTGCCTTACTTAAATCCAATTTAAGAGCAAGTCAAGACATCACCCGTGATGTCATTGGTCCTCTTTGAAAACAAAGGATGAACAAAAACTTAAGAAAGTTGTCTAGGCATCTCAATGGCATAACCCAGGGAAGATGGAGCTGGTCAAGAAGACCCAAGCTGTGTGACTGAGCAGGTCACCTAACTTCAGTTTCTTCCTCTGAAATGGGGGTAATAATAGTACCTACTTCACAGGGTTCTTGTGAGGATCAAAAGAGATGTCACATGGAAAGGACTTTGCACGCCTTGAGAAGGCTTCATAAAGCCTAACTAGTAGTAGTGGTAGTAGTAGTAGTGGTAGTGGTAGTGGTAGTGGTAGTGGTGATGCATTCAGGGTAAGTGACCTGCTCGAGGGTCAGATAACTACTATGTGTCCAGGGGAGGACTTAAACCCAACTTCCTGTCTCCAAGGCCTGCTCTCTCTGTAGTCCTCAGCTCTGGAGTGGGAGTTCTGGGCTATGGTATTCTATGCTACTCTGAAAGCCACGCTAAAATGAGAGTCCACACTCATTAAGATGGCAAGTCCACTAGGCATGTCTTTAGGCTGTGGTAGTATGTGGTAGGAGTGACATTTTGAGGTCTCCACTATTGCTGATGCTGTTCTCACCGAACTACTGCCAAGGCTATCACCAAGGAGAAGCAGCCAGCACAACCACATGGCTACTGTGGCTGGCCCCTGGGGAAGCCTCCTCTTCCTCCCTGCCCACCTCTCTTTGATCTGTCTTCTTCCTCAGGAGCCTCACTCAGTGCCCCACACAGGAGACAGGGACTCCAGAAGCAATGGAGGCTGGGTAGTTCTGTAAGGGAGCAGAGAGACCATTTGGCATCCATGCCACCTGAGGCATAAAGGCCCAGTGGAGAGCCAGTTGGAACCAGTGGTTTAGTAGAGATCCCATTGGGCTTGGGACCTACTATGGGACTTTGCTGACCTACTATGGTCAGTTGCCATAGGGATACTGTAGTGTGTGTGTGTGTGTGTGTGAGTAATGTTTGATGTGATATCCTTTATAAATTTAAAAACTGTATTCTTTTAATCTCTTCTCTGTTAAATTGTTTTTATTGTATTTCTTGGTCCATGGATGCCTTACTGTATTTTAACTCTTGAGCCTAAATTGTTGGGCTAGCCTAGATTGGGGCTGGCCCAGAATAGAGTGGATAGATCAAATTTATTCTAAGAATGTGACAATAGTGTGGTCTGTGTGTAGGTTTGGTGAGTATCCCAAATAATCCTTGAGGGCTAAAGTGGCATTAGCAGCTTTCACTAGCTTCTGTCTTGCCTTCCTTAAACCCCTAGGAAGACTATGTCATTTTATAATTACTTAACCCACAAAGGAGTGTAAAGTATAATTTGCTCACTGTATGGTGTATTCAAGTAACTACCCTGGTGATTCTGTCAAGACCCCATGTGGAAAAGGAGATCCTCGCCCCTCCCCTGCTTCTGCTACCTTTCTGGAGCAGATTCAGAAAAGGTCCCAACCATTCAAAGGTCTGGACATCTTTGTCAATTAGTCAATGCTAAGATATGGCTTATGTTCTTATTGTCTATTAGATTATAAGCTGCTTGAGGGCAGGGACTGTTTCTTGCCTTTATATCCCCAATGCTTAGCACAGGGCCTAGCACATAGTAGGTGCTTAATAAATGCTTATTGACCATCTCCTTCTAAAGTGGCCAAGCCTCTACCCTCCATTTCTTGCTTCCCCTCCTGACAGGAATTCAAGTCTCCCTTGGAAAAGGATAGAGGGACTTCCTGCCTACTCTAGGTAGAGATGTTCATCCTCCCCACCTTTGAGCCACATAACTATAGCCTCATGCTATATGTAGGGGGACAGCTCTCACCACATGGAGACACAGGGCATTCATCTCCACTAATAAGGAGAGAATGCTACACCAGTGGGTTTTGGGACTGCAATTATACAAAGCTAGGAGAGATAGCTGATGCAGTGAGGGACCAAGTCAAATTCCAAAAGGATCTAGTCAGGGTAGAGTAGAAATGTCAAACTAGAGGCTACGGGACTCCCAAGTGTCACTGGAACCAGATGAAAATGTAATTGGAAATTGTTTAATAAAATAAATAAAAATACAATACAACATAGATAATGTTAATGTGTGTTTTTCTTTATATAAGGCAAGCAAGGATCTGTTTGTTTCTATTTGAATTTGACACTCCTGGGCTAGAGTGTTAGTCTGAAACTAATTAGATGAAATTCTATAGGAGTGAATGTCAAGTCTTTCATTTGAATACAGAAATAAATATAGAAATAAGTATAAGAAGAAATAAAGTATAAGATAGAGGAGGCTTAGATAACAATTCTTCTGAAAAAGATGTGGGGGTTTTAGTGGACTGAAAGCTCAGTAGGAGTCAGCAGTGTCATGTGCTAATCAAAAAAAAAGCTAATGCTATTTGGGGCTGCATTAGGAGGGGCACAGCTTCTGGAATGGAAGGTCTTCTAGCAAAGTCTGCATGCTCACTTGTCAGGTGTGTTATAGAGGAGGGCGGATTTCTTTTCAAATATGGGTTCGACTAGTTGACTGCTGAGTTCCCTTCCACCCCTCAAATTCTGTGACTCTGTGGATGCTTCTGCCTTCTCTGGTCAATACTCATTCCTTGCTAAGACACCGTGGGACCCATATACTTGATTAGAAGCTCAGCAGAACTAGCACTTGTCAGGTGACAGCTTCAGACCAGCTTCCTATAACCCATCTGGCACTTTCTTCAGCCTTCCCTTCTGTTCTTCTTGTATCTTTCCAAAGAAAATGAGGTCATCTAGGTACACCAATATCTCCATGAAGTTCATGTCCCTACTTGCTTTCCCCATCAGCTGTTGGAAAAATAGCAAATTGCTTCCAAGATGGCTTGGGGCATACACATGTTGATAAAATCCAGCTGAGTGGACAGATGAAAGCTGCTTTCTTTCTTCTACTGTAGAAATCTGATAGTCTCCACTGGGTAACCCAACACCAAGGACGGCTGGTTGCCTAGCAAATAATACAGGGCATCTTGAGCTCTTGGCATGGTTTGCCTTAGTTCTTTTGTTCCAAGTACAACAGTCTATACATATTCATGTTTTCCCATGCTTCCACACCATTGCTATAGTCCAGTGTGTATAGACTGCTGGACTGTGAGGAAGCTATTGACCAGCCTTTCATTCAGATGGTCTGTGACGTCTATCATTACAGGTAAAGGAATCTGTCTAGCATGCTCTCAGAAAGTTCAGAAGTCAGGTGGGTTTTGAGAGCAGAGGTTCTTTGGGAACATGTCACTCTCCACAATGAGAACGCATCTATCCTCTTTCTAATCTTCTCTCTCAATTGATCCTTCCATTCTTCAGTCACTGATGAGTCATAAAAAGAAAGCTTTTCAGGATCCTCTTCCAAGTTGGAAGAGCCAGTACTCTTAAGATGGCTCACTTCTCTCTTCCCATAATCTTCTGCAAGGCTGAATGTATGGTCAGAGTACTTAAGGATCAAGTCCCAGCTTCTCACCCATAGTATCCTGCTAATAGCTCGAAGAAGATGGAGTTGGTTCCAATCAATAATGATGCCCCAGAGATAATTGCTGATCTTAGATACAATAGAACTATGATATCTACCTTTCTATTGACAACAACTTCCTTAGGAAATTTCAAGCTAACCCTGTTTGTATCCCAAATATGAACAGCGCTTGTCACTTATATTGAATCCTAGATCTTTCATAGACTAGAAAGGTCCTTTCTCAAATTTCTCTCATAGAATAATAAGAATACAATGGTCACTTGGGATCTGCTGTCCAACATGGCAGTGCAGTCCACATTTTCAATCTTTTTTTTTTTTAATTTTTTTTCACATTTTCAATCTTCACTATCACTTGTACACAATGTCCAATGAATCCAAATGGGGTGCACCCATAAGCATCTGAAGATGAGGCCTAGTTTACTGTTTTTAGAATCCAGGGTGACTTCCTCAACCCTGGCAACATTTGTTCCTTGATAGCATTTTGGAATGAATCTTCTAACATACAAAGTCTGCATTCCTCCTCCAAGTATGCTTATGTCTCCTATATCCATGCAGACCACAATTATAGCATAAATTAGTTCTTCTTTCTGGGTTGTACTCGGTTTGTGTGTACTTGCATCAGACTGTCATAAACTTTTTTTTTCCAGGTGGAATAATTTTGTTCCCAGTTCCATTTCTCATCAGGTTTTCTATAGGTTCCTGCCTTTGAGTTTATATATTTATATGCTGATGAGATTATATGACCAGAAGATATCTTGTACTTTACTTCTAAGAATAAGAAGGAACAAGATGTTCAGGGTTAGTGAAGTTGAATTTTCCTGTTTGGCCATGATGGGCACCAATGGAGGTGAAGAGAGGAGAGAGAAATCACCTTCTCCCTACCTCTCCTCAGAGATTTTCACAAAATGTTCCTGAACCCTGAATCTCTTCAATTGAACTCTTGTTGATAGGGCTGAGCCATTTAAGGTCCTACTGATCCAATGAGGTTGTTTCTTTCAATTCTGTCAGAGAAAGAGGCTCACATATGTCAGAGGGATCAGGGTGTAGATGCATCTTTACAATTAATTTATCACCTTGTAAATATTTTGTAGT